GCAGAGGCCTAAAATACGATCCCTAAACTGCGAGAGCCCAGCACACCTCTGACTAGGCAACTCCCCACTGGACTCACCGCAGATTTCCCCTGAAACGTTTCACTGCTGGGTAGCAGAGTGTTGGCAAATTCCTGCTGCCGGTTGCTGTAGACATGCACGAACCTCACTGTGTCCTGGCTGTTCGCCAACGCAAAGGACAAGAAAGCTTCAAAATCTGGATTTGACTTTGTTCCTTCCCGAATCAACAAGAGCACACAGTACCTACACCACACCAAGAGAAGGCAGGACAAGGTCAGTCCTGGAATCAATGTGCAAAACCACCTCCCAGGAGGTGAGTCTCAAGCCCAGGAGCCCATGCCCAGTGAGGAAAGCAGACCACACCTGAATTACAGAATCCAAGAGGGCCTGGGGCCCAGCCCAATGGCTACCACTGATAGGAGCCCCTCATGGTCAGAAAACCTTCCCCCGAGACTTCAGTAACTATATTTGCACTGATTTATCAGTTTACCTGCAGTTCTCAATAGAATCTAAGCTCCTTAAGGACAGGGATGGTCTGACTTTTGTCTTTGTAGCCCCAGGGCCCAGCACACAGTAGATACTTAATAAAAATTTGCTGAATAAATGAATTTCCCACTCAAATAAGTCGACAGGTTTTGCAGTAGGAATCCAGGTTGTATTCAGGAAATTTCACACTGATGAAAAAAGATTATTAACTCCCCACTGCTTTCCCAGAGAGGTTCTATTTTTTCCAAAGTCAAGTCATTCCTTTGAGCCAAAAGCCAATGCAACATTTAATAATTTTCTTCAAATCACTAAATCCTAGTTGGGTAATTAAAGCCAATTTAATTAGACCAACATTTAGTAAGTGCTCACTGCTTGCAGAATACTACCTTCTTCCTTAGCCTATCTTCAGTCCTGCTCCAGTTCAATCAGTCACAAATTTGAGACAATAGAAGTGACCCCACCTCAGCCTTCAGGCTAAGTGCGCACAACTGTTTCAGCTTTTGTCTATATGCCTGGCTTTTGAACCCCACACACATCTTGTGAAAGCTATGGAGCCCCAGCACCCCATGCCAGGAACAGCGTGAAGGGCGAGTAGGTATGAGACTGCCTCAGTCCCTTCCCTGAGTCCTCAGCTGTTAGGGTCGGGAGAAGAAGGGATTCCAGATCTTACTTTCTTTGGCGATGAGACCTCTTCACAGGGCATAGCTCATGGAACATCTTCTGGCTGGAGAGCCTGGCTGCTAGGAGGTACTTGTTTTGGGAGACGAAGTCTTCAATGGTCTGTTTCTTCAAACCCCGAGCCTAGAAACAAACCACAGAGCAGTAAGTCGGCTTTTATTCCACTCTCCTGCACCAGTTCAAAGAGACCTGTCAAGCCCTGTCCATTCACAGGCAAGGGGTCGCAAGGGCAGAGAGGCTGAAAGACCGGCTCAGGGCAGTGGAGGCTCTGAGTGACACACGGCCCACCAGAGCAAATGTCCTCCTGCCACATCGGTGAATACAGCAAGGAGGGTATTGGTCCAAGTCTAAGGAATACCAGTCTGGGCTTCTGTGGTCTCCATGAATACTGGATCTTTGGGAACATGGCCTTGCTAGATTTGCTCTCGATTCTGGATCCCACTAAACCACACATACAGTATAAGGATGGAGGATGTCGTTCACTGTATTTTCTGCAAAGCAGAAGCAAGCTCTCGAACACAACACTTGAATGAGCTGGTAAATGGGTTATACAAAAGGCTGTTTTAAAGTTTCACTTCAGCATCACTAGATATAAACATTAACCACAATTCATGTTTATATAGGTATTATACAAGGTATTTATGGTATTTATGAGATACCAGCAAAAAGTAAAGCAGGGCAATCTTCATAATTGTTGAGAATTAGTAACGGAATTAGAAATCATGTACAGGACTGCCCAGATTAATCTCCTTTAAGAGGCCAGAGGGAATGAAGGGAGAGGACACAGGCTGTCCAAGGATCTAGCTAGTTCTCTAGCAGGAGAATTTCTGATGTAGTATAACTTTTCTTAAGGACTAAATATTAAGCCAGATTAAATACAGGTAACTGAGAAGTTAGACTATGATTAAATCTTTCTTTACTTATAAAGGCAACATTTCAAAGAGGTTTGCTCTCTCCTTCTCACATACTATGTCTAGTTTCAATATTCACATCACCTGAGTGTCTAGGTGACAATTTAGAAAGAGCCTCTGGATAAAAAGAAACCACTATGTACCTATACATATGCAGCTAGGTGGTGTGAAGGATAGAGCACTGGTCCTGGAGTCAGGAAGACTCATCTTCCTGAGTTCAAATCTGGCCCTGGACACTTGTATGACCCTGGGCAAGTCACTTCACCCTGTTTGCCTCAGTTTCTTCATCTGTAAAATGAGCTGGAGAAGGAAATGGCAAACCACTCCAGGATCTTTGCCAAGAAACCCCAAATGGGGTCATGAAAAGTTGGCCACAACTCAACAACAACAATAACAACATATACCTGTACAACATCAGCTGGCTTGTCTATATGTTCCTTGAAGACCAACATGGTAGGAGTGTAGATGTTGACATTGTACTGACTTGTCATCTCTTGAGCCCCTCTCAAGCCGACATACACATATCCAAATGACAAGTAATCTTGTAGGCAAAAGCAATCAACTGGTGGGGTACAACAGGAAAAAGTGGAAATGAACAGTAAGTTCTACATCTGAAATCAGAACTGGAATCGCTCCCTTTTGTGTACAGCATTTAAAGCCCTCATTACCTCAATATGCCAGATACAGAAACAAGGGCAAATTTAACTCCTGTTCACCAACAAGGCAGAGAGGCATCTTGCTTTCTTTTGGCCTGGGGAGCAAGTAACCTCTGAAGAATTTTCTATTCATTTTTATTACTCCAGATTTAGGCCTGTGGCTTCTTTGAGGAGACTGTAACCTTGCTAACTCTTTTGTTAGTTTTCTTCCCATCTTTCCCAGGTCATGATGTTTTGACCTAGCCAGCCCTAAAGCTCAGTTTCTTAGCATCTGTGTAAAGAAAACGTGTCCATATGTACGGTGCACAAATCAAGCAAAACCAGAACAGAGTTAGGAATACCAGTGACCAACTGAGTACAGTCATATTTTTCAACTTGAAAATCTTCGAATGGACCTACAACTCATTTAAATAGACAATCAGAAGAAAAGGAAGTGATCTGGAAATAGCAGATCTCTGATCTTCCACCCTCCCCAGGGATCAGGACACCCTGGCTTGGTCTCACTACAGAGACTCCTCCTTCCACTAAGCCAGATGGTAGCCTGTAATGTACCTTGTATAGCAATGGCGCCAGTGGCGTGTGGTCAAACAGAAGTACATGAGGCTTGTTCTCTTGCTGCCAGCCAGAGAGAAATCGGATGTAATTTTTATCGGTGACCTTATAATTAAAGAAAAAAAAGAAAATTAAATGTTTGTTTTGATCTTTAATCTTCAATGGTCTTAAAAGGAGAAAAAGTCATAAGTATGTTTAAAATTTTTGTGAAAATGCAGCCATCAGATCTTTTCCTTTCACTACTACAGCTAAAGGAGCTGGGATCTCATAAAGTCATTTGCTTCTGATTATCACTCTTTACTTGAAATCACAATCCTTTCCACAGCAATTGCTAGCCATGTCACCAAAAAACAAGATCCCCAAATGTGGTTCTTTCTGTAACTACTTTTCTATCAAGGCATTTATTCTATATGCACAAAATTCCCTAAAGCTAAAAACAGGGAAAGGGAACCTGATCAGTGACAAGAATGTTTCTGAAATAAAGCACTTCAGAGTTTGGTGGGAGGGGTGATAGGAATGAAGAGCCAAGCTTCACACCTCCAGACAGACCTTCCTCTATACCCCTCTAGAGCGTCTGAGAAAAACCTGACAAGTGTGTTATAATGAGCAATATTTGATGCTCACTCAGAAACCCAAAGTTAGAAGGGACTGAAGAGGCCCCGGAGTCCAGCCCAGCTCTGAAAAGGCCCTCCTTCTCTGCTGTCCCAGACAAGTGCTCATTCAGCTTCCAATGAAGGGCTTCTAAAGATTTCTCAGAGTTTTTCTTTAGACTGAGTCAAAAAGTACCTCTCTGCAACTAAATGTCATGTCTCCCCACCCCCAACTCCCAGCCTTACTGTGCTTAGGTGTGTCCCCTGGGGTGGAGCTGAGCAAGTCTGGTCCCAAGTGACAGTTCTTTAAGAAGCTCCTCCCCTCTAGTTTCTTCCTCTTCAGGCTAAACATCCCATCTTTTCAAACTAATCCCTGTGCGAGATAATATCTGGCTCCTCTTTTAAAAGGTAATATTTTGCTTTTTTAAAAAGGTGACATTTTAACAATACTTTAAAAAAATTTCAGCCCTCCTATACCCTGTGATCCCCACACACATACTCTATACAATACAATCATGTAAACTGCAGTCTAAATGGCTTGTGCCCAAAAAGCCTCCCACAGGGATTAAAAAACCTGAACAAAGTGAGGTTCCAGATTCGAAAGTCTGCCCAGTCTTTAAGCAGTTTACATGCCAGGATCTCTTCTCTTCCATTACCTATGGACACAGTAAGACAGGGGCGTGTGTGTGTGTGTGTGTGTGTGTGTGTGTGTGTGTGTGTGTGTGTTTGTGCGCACACACCGTGAGCGCTAGACCTCAACTGGCCTGTAACATGAAGGCAAGAGTAGAGTCATATCTGCCTCCAGATGTCAGCTAGGTAAGGGACCATGAGCTCCGTCACATAACAATGTGACAGACAAAGGGTGTGCAGCCTCAGTCTAAGAACCCACAGTGATGCTGACCTCGGGCTGTGCTCCTCTGACTGTCTGGACATTGGAAGTCTACCTCATCTAGATAATTCCTTCAGCAACTCTTGGGACTGACATATACAGAGTAGGTGCTGAATCAACATTTTTGAACTGACATTTTTCTCATCATATTCCTTCAAAAAATGCTTCCTTCCACTTATTCCTTCCAGGCATGACCCAATTCCCTGAGAACTGTGTTGAGAGAGTGTAACAAAAACACTAGGATCCACCTACTGCATTTTCTTTTGTTAATATAAAGGACAAACACTTCAAAAGAAAATGGGAATTTTCCCACTTGTCAAAAGTTCTTAATTGAATGAAACAAATAATGAATAAGGGACTACTGTAGAACAGTCACTGGACCAGGAGCTGAGAGAGAGAGAGAGAAGGAAGATAAGGTTCTTGTCCTTGAGGAGTTTGCATTCTCCAAGGACAGACAGCACAGGACACAAAAAATGGTAATACAAGATAGTGTGGGTAAGTGTATAGGAAAGGTCTGGATGGTTTAGTGGAAGGTGAAGGCTGTCATGAAAGAGAGGGCAAAAACTGGGTGACCTTGAAAAATAGGCAGGATGTGAACGGGAGGAGATGAGGAGGAACACGATCTGTGTGCAGGGAGTGAAGAGTTCAATCAAAGGCACAGAGTTGGGGAAATCTGTAAGCTGTTCAGCATGTGAGCTGAATGACGCCCAGGCAACGGAATGGGGTCAGTTCTGTCAAAGTGGCTTCATCTGATGCAGAGAGAATTCTGGTCCTTCCACACAGTAATCATGCCTCAACAATCACTGTTTCTAACCCAACAGTGTGGATCCCACAATCTGATCATCCATTATAGGGTCAATTCAATTTGGTATAACATGCATTTGAAAAGTAGCTAATATCATTAATTAGTTCATTTTCCACACCTGTGCTTAGCTAGCTTCCCTTCACACTCAAGTGACTTCGCTTAACTAATTACTTTGTTTATTGCCCAACCCAACCCAAACTTCAATCTGCAAAGGCCCAGGCAACAAATGGACTTAGACCCCAAAGAAAGGCTTCTCCAGCTTGCATCTTCTTTGGGATCAATCCCTGGTGAAACCCACCTTCTCCACCAAGTTTCCTGGAATGAGGCTCTCCACAAACTGTCGAAGATTCTCTCGAACAACCGCATTGTGAAAGAACGAGATTTTCCCATTTATAATGCCTAGGATAGAGGGCGTGCTGTGGGCTCCCAGGTGATGGGCCAGCCGTCTTTCATAACCAGCGTGGACAACACCAATTCCCACACCTGAAAAGGGAGGGACACTACATGAAGACTTCCTAGGGTAATGAGGCAGTGACAAGAAGCAGAGCCCCCTTTTTCATAAATAATTTGGAACTTTTTCTACCTAGGAGGAAGGCATGAGAACACTTGGTATATCTTTTTCCTCAGTTTCCTCTCTTTGAAACTCAACCTTTGGTATTGAGAAACAATACCAAATCATCAATGATTTTGAAAGTTCTGATTTCTAAAATTTAGAATCTCCCCCCCCTTATTAAAAACCTACTATAGGTTAGGCATTGATGATTAAAATATGGATATGAGGCAGTGCCTGCTTTCAAGGAACTTAAAATCTAGTAAAGAGAAAGAAACACAAATAACTATGTACAAGGAAGAGTGGGATAAACATGGAGAAAAAACCAGGCAAAATGCTGAGATGTGAGGAAGGAGAGATCGGTTTTTATCTTGGCAGCGGAAGGCATGGGTCAGAGAAAGTTTCACAGAGAAAGTGCACTGGAGCCGAGTCTTCAAGGAAGGGAAGACTTTGCAAATGGAGATGGCACACAGAGGAAGTCTATTCTAGGCACAGGAAAAAGCAGGGATGGGGCAGCTGGTATAGTGAAGGACAGGAACAGAACAGGTTGAAAGAAGGTTGCAAAGATAGGATTGCAGGCAAATTGCAGAGGGCCTTGAACACCCCCCACAAGCAAACACATGTAGGAAGAGAAAGTAACTAAGAGCAGTTACACGCACATGCTTTTCAGATGTATGCTTTGTTACTAGCTTTGTAGTTATTCTCTATAATTCCCTTACTGAGGGGATAAATGAAATAAAGTAGCAGACTTTAAAGTTGTTTGACTTCATTCTTGTAGATGTTTCTGGCCATATCCATCCTGCAAAGGACTGCTGGGAAAGAGCCTCTGCCATAGCAGAGAGAGGAAAGCAGGCCAGAATGGCTGCAGTGTGCACAGCATGAAAGTAGCTACAAAAGTCAATAACCATTTATTAAGCACTTACTATATGCCAGGCAATGTGCTGAGGATTAAAAAATAGAAAGGGAAAAAGTCAGTCCTTGCCCTGAAGGAGCTCACATTTTAGTGAAAGACAGGTGAAGGCCAAATTGTGAAAGGCTTAAATGGTAAGAATGCCTATTTTCTCCCAGAGGCGCCCCTGAAGATGTATAAGCAGTGAAATGAAATGGTCAGCGCTCTGCCTTACAAAGATTATTTTGGAGGCAGAGTGAACAACAGACTGGATGGGAGAGAGGTGGGAAGTACGGAGACCAATTAGGAAGCTGTTGTAATAGTTCAGTTGAGAGGTGATTAGGGCATGTGCTGCGGGAATGGAAGAAAGGTGTGGATGTGAGAGACGTTGTGGAAGTAGAATCTGGAAGCCTTGGCAACTACAGAAGGTGAGGAGGGAGAAAAGTCAAGGTTAACTCTGAGGTGTGGATCTGGATTACTAGAAGGATGGTGGTGCCCTTAACAAAAATGGGAAGTGTAGAGATGGCTAAGCTTTCTGGGAAAGATAATGAGTTTTACTGCAGACATGCTGAGTCCATGATGTTTGGCAGAAACTTGGTAACACAGGGCTGATGTTTAGGAGATGTGAAGAGGGCTATGTACAGATTTGGGCATCATGTTCACAGAGACAACTGAGCTGATAAGAATAATGAGTGAAAGCATGGAAGGAGAAAAGAAGACAAAACACAGGAGAGATCATTGGGCGACATCAATGCTTATTGCGTGGGAGATGGATGGTGATCTAGGAAGAGTACAAGAAGGAATAAAGTCATGGGAGAGCCAGGAAGGAGTAGGATCATGCAAATACAGGGAAGAGAGACTATCCATAAGGAAGCAGTGAGCAGCACTGTCAAATGCTCCAAAGCGGTCATGGAGAAGGAGGACTAAGAAAAGGTCCTTAGATTTGGGACTTAAGACATGGCTAGTATCCTTGGAGTAGTTTAGGAGGGTACTTGGGTTAGAATGGAGATTGCAAGGAACTGAGAACTCAATGAGGGGTGAGCACATGGAGATTACGTGGAAAAACTACTCCCTGAGTTTGGCAGATAAAGAAGAGACATACAGCAGTAGCTTGAGGGGAGTGAAGGTTTTTAAGGACGGAGCTTCGGACACATTGTAGGCAGTTGCGGAGGAGTCAATGGTAAAGGCAAGATGGAAAATGGCAGAAAAAGGAGGAAATTATAGAAGGGGCAAGCTCCAAGTGGAACTGAGATCAAAGGCAGAAAGAGAAGAGCAATCCTTCCCCAGAGCTTGGAGCAAGGGAGGAAAGTGAGGTTGACAGGCCAAGAGGACTAACAACAGAGACTTGTCATGTTCTCAGGAAAGTAGGAGGTGAGGACTTTTGCTGACACTCTGGCAGGTGATGTGGGGGGACTGAAGAGAAAAACAGTTTGGAAGAGTTGCTTAGGAATAAGACAGAGCCAATCGTAGAAGAATAAAGTGATTAACACACAGTACTGAGGACCCATCTGAGAAGAGATAATCTACATTTGTAGTGGTCTCTTTTGGCAGTGGAACACAGAAGGCAAATGCCGTGGGTAACCTGGGGATGTTGTGGCAAAGCACAAGAGGTGAGAGGGCAAAGGCGTAAGGGATTCATGGGTAATTTGGTGCAGGGTTGAACTGGTCAACCCCAGGGCCCAAGCTGTAAAAGGAGAGAAGTGAGGGTGGTGGGACTGGAGGTTAGGACAAGTAGGGCAGAGAGAGAGGGAGGGACAGGAAGTCGAGATTGGAGAGAATTTCAGAGGTCTGCACCATGGAAGCAGTGTACTGATGGGTGACGAGGATGGAGGAAAGTCTGAGGTGACAACAATGTGCGTATTTAAGTCCTCAAACATCAGAGTAGAGGTTGAAGTGAGAGGAAGACTGTAAGGCAGGCTCTGAGCTCCTTGAAAAAGGAGGGAGAATGAGCCGGGGATGGTCAATGACTGTGATAAGGATGTGGACCAGCTGATAAAGACAGATGGCCTACACAACAGCGGCTCTCTCTTTCGGGGGGAGTGTGTATGGAGAGGGACAAAGTTACACTGTTAACCACTTAACAGTAGCAGGGGCAGGAGGCAAGCAGAACTTTGAATGAGGCCTAAGGGCTTTACAGAGTCTGAAAAAGGAAGGGAGGATCTGGTCAAAGTTGAGGAGTTTTCACATTTTAGGGGTCCTAAATTCCTTGGGCAGTGTCCAGTGAAGTCTAGGGATGGACCCTTTCTCAGAATCATATTTTTAGATGCGGAAAATAAAATACATATGCTTATAGAGGAAACCAATTATAATGAAATAGTTATTAAAATATTTTTAAAAATTAATGGTCCCCCTGAAATCTCTCCATGGAGCCCAGGTTAAGAGCCCCTCATCTAGTCCAATCCCTTGATTTTAGAGGTGAGGAAAATGAGGCCCAGGGACCTAAGCGATTTATCCAAAGCTGTAGAGAGAATAAAGAGCAGAGCTAGAATGGGAGCCCAAACCTTCAGACCCCAACCCAAACACTCAGAAAGGATTTAGGTTAAAAAATAATATCCACTTTTTCTCTTTCAAGTACAGGCATCTTGCTTTAACATAAATTTGCACTGCACAAAGTGCCTTTATGTGGAGAATTCTGAAAGAAATCCACCTGCTGAAAAAACACCTATGTTAACTTTACAGTAAGTACTGTGCTCTCTCTCTCAGCTCCTGTCCCTTGGCCTCTCTCCACCACCAAAAAAACCCAAAGAAGAATCCTACTATGTGAATAGACAAGTGGAGAGACCTCTGCCCCAGCTGCCTGATGCCTGGATTTGGGGCTCAGTTCAAGACTCCGGTGCCAAGAGGAGCCCTTTGCCCCATTCCCCCAGCTCTGCTCCCCAGGCCACGTGCACATGTTCTTTGTCTCAGTTCTGGCAGGCCCTGGCCCCCACCTGCTCCTCCTCCTGCTCTCACTTGTTTGTTCCTGGTCCCCATGTGTCTCTGAACTGTGACCCACTCCCTTCCTGTCTATCTCCTTTGTTTTCTTATATCAGAAGGCAAATTCGCATTACATCTGGCCTCATGTGGACATGATGTTGACAACTTTCCCATAAATGCAACAAAACCTTGAGTAGTTGAAACTCAATAGGAACCTTCAATCTGAAAGAATTTTCCTAGTACTCTCACTTTTAAGAGGAAAATGATTTTAAAAAATCAAACTTCCAAGGGATTTCCTAGAGCATTACTTGTTGAAATGAATTCAGTTTCTCATTCTTTCCTTCAATCTTACCTATTAGTTATATTGTCAGAATTGATGAGAATCATGGTCCTGTCATTCACAATCCCCATGACCTTAGACAAGTTCAGCTCTCCACGTCCTCTTCTCTTAGCCCCCTACCATATTCCTGATTGCACGCTGCCAAGTTCAGCCCTGGATCACCCACCATCTGCCACCTTTACTCTTACACACGTGCTCTGAATGAAGGTGGTGAAGATCAGACAGCCCTTCTGACTGGGCCCGCTACAAACTGATGCTACCCAACCTCACTTGGGCCCTCACTGCTGCTCGGCAATCCTTCTCTACTTCCTTTACCAACTCCTTCTCCCACTCTTCACAGTGGCTGGTCCAAATCTTTTCTTCAACTCCCATGGCTCCCTCTCCCTCCTTCTTTCAGCTGAGAACCTTGCTTGATGTTTTATTGAAAAAACTGACACCATTTACTGAGAGCTCCCTCTTCTCCCCTTCTTGTCCTACAGTGTCTTACAATCCTGCAGTACTGGGCCATCTTCTAGGCAGCTAGGTGGCACAGTAGATAGGGTGCCAGGCCTGGAGTCAGAAAGACCCAAGTTCAAATCCAACCCCAGACACTTACCATGTGACCCTGGGCAAGCCACATAACCTGTTTGTCTCAGTTTCCTCATCTGTAAAATGGGGATGCTGATAACAGCACTTACCTTCCAAGTCTGTGGCGAGAATCAAATGAGATAATAAATGTGAAGTGCTTAGCACAGTACCTGGCACACAGTAATGCTATATAAATGCTAACTATTATTATTTTTATTCTCTTCTTCCACTATACTCCTCCACTTGGTGATCTCATCAGCTCCGACGTGTCAGTTGCATCTTTATGCTGAAGATTCTCAGATCCATCTATATCTAACCCCAACCACTGGCCTTCCACCTTCAACTGCTTAATGGACTTCTTGGAGTGGACATGCTGTAGGCATCTTAAACTCCACATGTCCAAAGCTCAATTCAATCTTCTTCCCAAACCTTCTCCTCTTCCAAACTTCTCTATCGCTGTTAAAGGCGGCACCACCTCCCAGTCCTCCAGGCTCAAAATCTGGGGTATATCCTCAGCCTCTCCCTCTTCCCTCCCCGCCTCCATCCGCACTGGTACCAAGGCCTGACAATTTCATCTCTGCAGCATCTCTCTTGAATATGCTTCCTTCTCTCCTCTGACAGGGCCCCCCACCCCCCCAATCATCTAACCTCTGCATCACTGCAGTAGCTGCTGCTGAGTCTGCCTGCCTCCAGTCTCTCCTCATTCTATTCTCTATTCCACTCCACAAGTGACCTCCCTAAAGCTCAGGTCTGACCATGCTGCCCCTCTCCTCAATAAACTCCAGTGGCTCCTATCATTTCCAGGAGGGAACACAAAATCCTTCAGAGCCTAGCCGCCTCCCACCTTTCCAGTCTTTTTACACCTTACTCTTCAACATCACCTCTCCTATCCAGTGATGACACTGGCCTCCTGGCTGTTCCTTGAACATGACCTTCCATCTCTGGGCCTCAGGCATTTTCCCTGGCTGTCCCCATGCCTGGAATGCTTTCCCTTCATATCTCCACCTCCTGGCTTCCCTCAGGAAGTTAAAATTAAAAATCCTACCTTCTATAAAAAAGACTTTCCTCTTAATTAATACTCTTAATTCTTAAATTCTTCCCTTTTAATTCTAGAACCATCCCTCGGTAATTATCTCCTGTTTATCTTGTCTATGTCTTGCTTGAACATAGTTGGCTCCCCAGTTAGGCAGTAAGCTCCTTGAGGGCAGGAGACTATCTTTTGCCTTCTTTGTATCCCTAAGCTTAGCACAGTGCCTGGAATACAGTAGTATATTTACTGGATCTCAGTTTCCTCATCTGTAAAATAAGGAGGCAGAATTAGATGGCCTCATACTTCTTTTCCAGTTCTAAATCTATGATCTGATAACACAAGTATATTTGAAACAATCATTCCCCTCACCTACAGGCACTCAAAGAATTTTAGGCCTCACTGACAAATCCAAGCACACTCACTGTGTTGTACTTACTAAGGCAGGAAAATGGACTAACATATTTTATAAATATTTTCAACAATCGTAAACAAAAAAGGTTTTCTGCTTGACTCAACTCCACACTCTCTATTCCCTCCGGGTTTTGGTGTGTGCAGTTGCCCCTTTTTTTTTTTTAGCAAAGAAACACAATTATCCAAGTCAAATAGCAAAAAATTGAAATCACAGAAAGTACACACATGAGAACATATACCAGATAACACAGAGTGAAGGAAGTGAGGTGACACCTCAAGCAAGAGTCCTGGATCTCCTCAGGAGAAGCTCCCCAGTGTCTCTGCTGTAGCAAGCTAGTAACAGGGACATGACGTGGAGACCCTCAGATCCTCTCACATCAGCTTCTTCCAAGAGCCTTTTCCTTCTGCAATCTGAAGTGGAATTGGCAGTCATTTTGGGTGTAGAGACTCGCCACTCCTAATAGGCAGTTCTGCCCCAGCCTTGACTTTCTTACAGATACAGTTTGTTCTGATATTGGCTCAATGCTTCAAAGGACCCCCTCAATCAGAAGAGCTTGTCTTTAGCTGAAGCAGCACAGCAGCAGGCTGACACATGACCAGCTGGAAGCTGACGCTCTTCCTCAAAGCTCAGGGCTCTGCCATGGTGGGTCGGGACTCCACTCCTCTAGTCACTGCAGCGAGAGGCCCATTAATTGTGGCGATGCCAAAGTAAACTTTGAAGTAAAAATTACAGAAATATTCTTGCTTTCTGACCAATAACCGTATCACTGGAAATACATCCTGAAAATGTTATTTTTTAAGAGAGCTATATTCTAAGAGATTTTCATAGTAAATGACTCTAGAAAACTAGAAACAATCTTAATGTCCCAAATCAGGAGAATAGTTAAATAAATTGTGTTACATTATGCAAAACCATGATATAATCAAGACTGCTAAGTATGAAGAGAGAGGCACAGCAGAGGAGTAGACAGAAGCTGGCCTGAGAGTCTGGAAGACATGGGTTCCAGGCCCAACTCTGACATCTAAGTTGTCTCTTCACCTCTCAATCCCTTCGATGATTGCAGAGAGGGAGCGGCTCTCCTTTGCTGGAGGGAGTTTCCTTAATCACTAAGCCACAAGTCAATGCAAGCTCAAATCATACCACGCAAAGATCCCTGGGAAGGTCTTCCAATGCAAAGTAAAAAAAAATGAACCAGAAGAATGGTGCTCCCAGGAAGGCCACAGAGAGGAACGGTGAATGACAACCGATGGATGGGGAATGCTGATTGGGACAAAGTGGGAACAGACGAAAGCTATGCTGTGTTGTGTTGAAATTATTCATACCAATGTAAGTACTTCCTAAACAAGTTGAGCATCAAGTTTTTAATGGACCACTTGATTCAGTAAGAGAGTAAGACAGTGCAAAGCCCCAAGAAGCACTGGAGAGGAGCAGCGCAGTGCCTCCTCCACAAAGAGGGGAAGGCCACAGAATGAACTAACAAGAGTTACTAGCAAGGCACCTCCAGGAGTCATTAAACATTCAACCTCAATCAATCAATCAATCAATCAACCTGGGATTTTCCTGACATTTCCTGGAGGAGGAAGAAGCAAATTCAACGACAAAGGATAGATTTTGAACCAGGAGAAATTCCTCACGGCCACTACAGATGGTAAAATTATTTTGCAAACTACCTGCAAAACTCATGGGCCTCTGACTCTCAACGGTGTGTATCCCCATGGATGCCTCTGCAGACCAAGCGTACCCAAAGGCTGCCTGCTGCTCAGTCGTTTTGGTCACGTCCAACTTTTTGTGACCCCATCTGGGGTTTTCTTGGCAGAGATACTGGAGCGGTTTGCCATTTCCTTTGAGGAAACTGAGGCAAACCGTGAAGTGACTTGCTCAAGGTCACGCAGCTAATAAGTGTCTGAGGCGGGATGTGAACTCAGGTCTTCCTGACTCCAGGCTCAGTACTCTATCCACTGCACCACCGAGCCTCCAGAAAGGCTGCCTGATGGAACAGAAAGAACACTGGAAGATTGGAGCTAGAGGCTTGACTTCATCCTTTACTGCCTGAATGAGCTGGGCAAGTCACATTATCCCTCATTGGCAAAACAGGGATAAACACCAACTTCTGCACTACCTATATTACATGCTACACGGAAGGATCAGAGGAGATAATAATACTTATTCACACTGCTCTAGGGCTTTGAAATTTACCAAAGACTTTCCTCTTAAAAATCCTATAGTAGAGGTAGAGTCCAAACACTATTAACCCCACTTTACAGATGTGAAAATGGAAGCTCAAAAGCAAACTGTCTCACCCAAGACTCCAAGGCCAGTAAGTTTCTCATCTGTACATTAGAAAGTTGAACTAGAGACTCTCTAAGGTTCCTTCCAGCTCCAAATGCTACGACTCAAAGGGAAAAAAAATGGTGAGTCAGAAATAAGACCCACACTTCAGTCTTTTGACTTCAAGGTTAGTGTTCTATTACACTGTACGGTTTCCTTATACGTGCGTATGGGCTGTGTAACTGTAAATTATTATTATGAAATAGTATCTTTTTTAGTATTTTGTTTATAAAAGAAACTTGTAGACATTTCTTTCAAAATATGCCCACTGAATTTCTCCCAAACCACTTCAGCTCGTCCGTCTGGGGTTTGGGGGGGGTGTTGCATTCACAAGGGGTGAGGCCCCTTTCCGAGGTTGGTATGGGAAACCATCACTTACCTAATCCCTCCAGTTCCTGCACCACTTCTTTCCAGACGGGCTCGATGTGGATGCAGCTGAAGCACCAGTCCGAAGTAATCTTGATGAGGTAGGGCTTTCTGAAGCTGTCCGGGACCACCTCATTGACATAATGGGAAAAGTGCAGCAGATACTTTTCATCGGATGAGTCTCGACGCTCCGAATGGAACGGGAAATGAAAAAAGGATTCATCAAAGTAAAAGCCGTCATGGAAATGGTGGAAGTGGTGACTCTGTGACTGCTGTGGCTGGTGGTACCCAGGGTTTTCACCAGCATCTCCATAGTGATCAAAGTTGGACCTCTTTTCTTCACTGGAAAGAATCTGTTGAGACAAAGTTTGAAGAGTTCAAGAGGATCAAAGCACCCCAGAGAATTGGCCACGGACAGTGTGACAGTGGACAGCCACCCTGCTGGGCAATTTACATGTGCTCCACCATGTATCGAAGAGGACATTATGTGCAGCTACTCAGGCTTTATGAATCAGAAAGGTTGTGACTCTCCTGGCACCAACAAGATTGGATAGGACATATTAAATATGACAGTAATGGTCAACAGCATCATTCTGCCCTAACTGAGCTGCAGTAATTTTAACAAATCTCTGATTAGGAAAATTAAGGAATATCACACAGAATGGCTTGCCATGTAGTAGATACCAATCAACATGTGCTTATTTAATATGGCCTTGTGGGCTAGGGTACAAGCATTAGGTTATGCACTCAAATGTCATTCCTTAATTCTGTTGCCTTCCCTCTGTTAATTCCTTCCTCTTTATCCTCTGTATAACTTCCTTTGTATCTGATTTCACATTGTCTCCAACTACTAGACTGCAAGCTTCTTAGGGTCAGGGACTGTGGTCTGCCTCTTTTTGTATCCCCAATGCTCAGCACAGTGCCTGGCACAGAGCAGGCACTTAATAAATGTTTATCCATTGACTGAAAGGCTCAAAGATAGACATGGGTACTACCAGTCCTATTTCTGCCCCTATTAGCCATGTGACTTCAAGCAAGTCCTTCGAGACAGTTTCTTCAGATCTACAATGAAAATGACAATGACAATGACTACCTCATGAAGATTTGTAATGATGAAATAAGAGATGTGATAATACTTGAAAATATTATACAGCATCTAGGCTAACGACAAGGGGTGGGGTGTAAATTTCCTTTAAAAACACAAATAAGTGAATGTGTGTAAAACTATGAAGTAGTATGCAAATTAAGACATTATTGTTATTATCCTCACTATGACTTGTATTGAGTAACAGATGATACACGAATGACAAAGCTTGGTACAATACCTCATAAGCCTTGCTAATCTGAATGAACTTGTCTTCTGCTCCGGGATCTTTATTTTTGTCAGGATGCCTGAAAAAAAAACAAAACCCCAGTAAGCCCATGGTGAGAAAAGACCTTCTCTCAGACACCATCCCTTAATGCCCTTGGACACAGCTGCCGATGCCAGAGGCAGATAGCAAGAAACCTGGTCAGAATATTTTCTAGCAAAGGGTCCGTTTGTCTCACCTGGCTAAAAAGCAAGGGGAGCCTTAGAAGAGAAAAGTCATTTCTTCATAAGAAACAACATCAGAAGGCCAGGCTTTTAGAGCGCCATACTGCTATTACTGGCAGGTCTCTCTTTTAGTATTCCATTACAAAAAAGGAGGACATGACTGTGTTTGGAAATCCATCTAGTGACAACAAACCAGTGCTAACTTTGGCCGATGACTGAACGAACCTGTCTGCAAGAACCTACTTCTTTCTCCAAGGGCACACAGAAAACATCACCACAGCCTCGGGATGGTGTGCACAGGCACTTCCCCTAGGTAAATCTGACGGCTCAGGTTGCCCTTCCGCAGCTCAATGAACCTGCTTAGGAGCCATCACGCTGTGAACAGCAGCGAGGTGCTGACCTCCTGAGGAAGGCTGCTACCCGGGCTGCCGTGCTGTTAGCTGCCCGCAGCAGGAGACTCGCTCTCTACAAAGCAAAAGGACCCACAAGGTTTCAAATTTTGATTATTAAAATTTATCTAAACAAAAAATAGAATAAATCTGAGCTAACAGTACTGATAATCTAGGTTACTCATTTGGCAATTAAT